GACCACAGGCAGCCAGCCAGGTTCGGCGGCCACGCCTCCGGCTGCGAGTTGCCGGACCGTTTGTTCTTGGTTGCTTTCTTGTCGGCTGGGGAGTGAGCCTCTGCTGGCGGCCGTGTTTTGAACACTCTGTTTCCTGGTGTCTTCCTCCCCGCCACCTCGCATTTTCTCCTGGAAGGGGGTCGGGTGGAAAGCAGCAGACTGTGTGTTGTGTGGCTGCCGTCCTGCTTCCTGGAAAAACCATTACAAATTAGTTCAAGATCTTATTTCTTGCTGGTTCTGTGCTTGTAAGCTCTGGGACTAAAAAACCTATGCCAGTTAATCCTTCAGTAATGTAAATCTTGTATTGTTTTCCTCTCATTTTCAAACTGAGGTCCTAAAGCAAAATTAATTCTTTGGAAAAGTTGTAAGTGCACGAATTCTCACCCAAGAATGAGGAACTGTTAGGAAGCGGGCTGGCCGTTGAACGAGGAATCCTGCAGAGCATCTTTGACCTGTTTAGCAGTTTATTTTTGTGGTTTCTCTCTTATAGTGATTTGGGGTAGGAGCATTAGTTACTCATCTTTTGAGATTTATATTACAATTATTTGAATAAAACCAAACTTTTCCTCAAAGTCAGTGGCAGGAAAGGATGAAAACAGAAAAGGTTGTCTTTTTTGAGGTCTTCGAGCTCTTTGCACAGTTCTGGAGAGGACAGGCCCGGTGTCGCTCGGCCTCCCCTTGGACTTCGGCGGAAGGACACTGTAACGGTGTGAGTGTGCGTCTGTGAGTGTGCGTCTGTGAGTGTGCGTGCACAGGCGCGCACGTGTGCTTCCTAGACGAGGAGTTGAGGGGAGAGCAGTCCATCCCACTTTTTACCTCTTTCCCACCCTCGGTAGGTGGTATTGGGGGTCCTGTAAACACGCTATGGAAAGCGTGTCTCTCTGTGGTGAGAATGGTCTGCACCTTGTCTCACCCAGACTTGGTGACTTGGCCTGCCGTCCTGCCACTCGGGGGTTGTTGGCTAGAACCCATCCTAGGTGTTCGCCTGCCCTGGGACCTGAAGGAAGGGGTGCCTCTTGCCCCCGTGACTGTCCTCTCGTCTGTCGGGGTGCTCCTGGTTGAGGATTGTCGCCTTCCTAAGTAAAGACTCCTCGACCCTGAGCTTCTCCCTCAGAGCTTCCCCTCATCCCCTCCACGGATGCCAGTTGACTCCATAAAGAGTGTGGGTTCCCAGGTGAAGGACCCATTGGCAAGGAGCCCACCCTGGGCGTCTTCTCAGGACAAAGCTGACATGGGAAGTGGAAACATTGAATTACAAAAGGGGAGGTAACACCCCTCTGCCTGCCTGCCATATGGGGATGATGGAAGGGCGAATCACTGTCCGAGAACTTGGGGAAGGCTTTAGGTGGCGCGCTGCCTCTCCGGCCCGGCCGGCCGGCCAGCTGTCCACTTGTGAGTTTTACTGAAACGCCACCATGCCCAGTTAGCTGTTCGCGTATTGGCCGGCTGCCTCTGCAGGTTTACTGTGGGGTTCAGTAGTCGTGTGTGGCCCTTTTCAGAAGAAGCTAGCCGGCTCCTGGCCCGGACGCGTATGGGAAAGATGTGTCCCGTGCCGGCACTGCTTGCTCCCAGCCGGATGGACTCACAACCCCCTCTGCAGTCCCCTCCTTTCTTAGGACATCTGTGTTACGCAGGCCTGCGCCCCGGGCACGAAGGGCTGTCCAGGTGTTGTCTCTGTCCTCAGGGGGGCGACATCACTCATGAGCCTGGCACGGTCGTGCCGAGAGCCGCCTCACACCCTGACCTGCACATGCGCCTCGCCCACAGACGTCACCCAAGACACAAACATAAACAGAGTGCAGTAGGTTTCGGTAGTCATTGTATTAGGAACCATGAGTTCCCGAGGATTTGCCTGGCCTCTTTAAATAGCAGGATCGAGCATTTCCTTTAATAGATGTTTTTCCACTGATTCAATGAATATTTTTATTTCACTACTGTGAAATAGGGCTGTGACTCTGTAAAACAAAAAAAGTATTAAAAAATCTGATGGGACACACATAAATACATGTAAGACTACCTGAACTCTTAAAGAAAGGAAGCCATGTATTGGGACTTGTAGCCGTCATCCCTGAGTTCTGGAGCCACAGGACCCAGGAATCACGGGGAGGGCGCCTCCTCTCCGACGGCTCCGCGGCCGTGCTCGGCCCTCACTGGTTTCTGTTTCGAACAGAGACCCGGCGGTGGGAAGCAAGGGGGTGCTGGGCCCTAGGCTGGATTACCGTGTGCCTTCTGTAAAGGGAGTGTGGCTTCGGGTCAAAGGCTCCCTGGAACTGTTGAGGGTAAACCCAGGTCTCCTAGGCAGCTGTTTTTGCGTTAGGAATTGAGGCACGTGATTTAGGATGACAGAGAAAAGTTTCAATTTCCCCTTGGTTGTAAGATGAAAAATACAGCGCTTTGGTTACACTGCGTGCTCAGTTGTTTACGTGGACTGCCGTCTTCCTGTCTGCCTGCTTGTTTGCCTTTCTGTTTTTCTTTCACTTCTTCCGTAGACTTTTTAATTCAAATCCAGGAATTGTGTATGAAGTGCTCTTTGAAAATCGATGGTGAAAGCACTAAGTTTCAATAATGGATCTGAAATTCATGTGTGCTGCTTTTTGCCTGTATATCTAGATTTAGGTCTCTAAAAATTGAATTAATTTGCTTACTTTAAAAAAATGAGTTAAATGGGAAGGAAAATCGTAGCAGCAAGACAGGGCCACCCGGTGTCGGGCCCCGTGCGCAGCCCCGAGAAGGGCGCCCGGCAGAGAACCTGGGCCGCCCACTGAGCGTTTCCGGTCTGGTCAGGGAAGTACAGACTTGTTCGCATAAAAATGGCAGACCACGTTGAGTGCTAAAGGAAAGCCATGTGATTAGGAAACAAAGTCGATTCGGGAAAGAAAGGGAAGCAGTGTGTAAAGGCGGAGGTCCTGGATATGAATGCCAGTCCTGTGCTTTCTACCTTGGGGACAATTTTTAAAAAACGTCTCCACTTTACCCTGACTGATGTGGCTCAGTGGGTAAGACAACATCCTGCAAAAAAGCTAAAGGGTCACCAGTTCGATTCCTGGTTAGGGCACATGCCTGGGTAGGGTTGTCTGCAAGGGGCAACCGATCGATGTTTCTCTCATGTATCAGTGTTTTTCTCCCTCTCCTTTTCCGTCTCTTCTCCTCTCTAGAAATAAATGAAGTCTTTTTTTAAAAAATCGATTTGTCTTGCCTTGTAACAGAACGGATATCGTTGCCTCTCAGGGTCACGGTGATGTGGGATGAGACCCCGGGGGTGATGTGCCAGCACAGGCCCTGCCACATCAGGGGCTCGGTGAGCGAGGTCACTGCTGTTGGCCCCGTGGCTCCAGTCTGGGGTGATGGGGACATTCTGCGGTGGAGACCGGGCTGGAACCAGAGAGGTTGGGCTGTACCACACATTCGAAAGGTGTCCAGGAATGGGGAGTAGATTAGATTGGTCTCAGTGGAGAGCTGAAGGGGTGAGATGAGCAATGAATTTTCAATCTGCTGGTTTGGACAAGTTCTCAACCTTCTAGGATGTTTTGGTCTTTTCCTACCTAGAAACAGTATATAGACTAGAGCAAGAATAAAAACTATTTCAGCCCTGGCTGGTGTGGCTCAGTGGATTGAGTGCTGCCTGGCAAACCAAAGGGCCACCAGTTCGATTCCCAGTCAGGGCACATGCCTGGGTTGCAGGCCAGGCCCCCAGTAGGGGGTGCTAGAGAGGCAAGCACACATGGATGTTTCTCCCCCCCTCTTCCTCCCTCCCTTCCCCTCTCTCTAAAAATAAATAAGTAAAATCTTTTTTAAAAAAACTATTTCAGCATTTTGCATACCTTCTACAGAGCATTCTTTGTCATTGTGGCTATAATTTTTTTTCTCCTTACCCTCTTCCCACTCCCTTCTCTTCTCGTACATTCTTGTAGGTTTCCCCCCTTTTCTAACTTAATTAAACTGATCCCTGTCCGGGCCTTGGTCCAGCCTCAGGTGCCCACTCTGCTGCGGTGGATCTGCCCCTGGTTGTGAGGGCCCAGGGTCTGCTGCACTGGGGACTGGAAGGAGCACAGCCTGAGGTCTCAGGGCTTTGAAACGTGCAACCTGTTTCAAAAGCTAATTCCAGTGATGGCCACTGTGTGGTGCTCATGCGTCAGAAATAAATTCTGAAACAAAAGAGTTGAGCCCTGACAGGTGTGGCTCGGTGGGGTGACGTCTGGCACAGGGCAAGGTCGCTGGTTTGCTTCCCAGCCAGGGCACGTGCCTGGGGTCGGGGCACGTGCAAGAGGCAACCTGTCGATGTTTCTCTCCCTTTCTGCCCCCTTTTCCCTCTCTGTAAGAGAAAATAAAATCTAAAAACAAACAAACCAAAAAAACAACTAAATCGTGGAAAGGGAGCTCAAAAACATTGTGACCATGTGTGGGGAGGTTACAATCCAGAATCACAAAAATGGGAGGGGAAGCGGCGCATGTTCATCTGCTGAGCAAAGATTTACCCGGGACTCTAAGTAACAGCCTCTAGTACGGCTTTAATAGTGTCATTCACTGATTTCCTGGATTCCAGGACACTCAGACATCCTTAGGCTGCCCGAAGCAGTGGTACGAGATCAATGCAGGCAGCTTCCCAGAGAGTTTAGACTAAGTTACAAAACAGCTGCACGGGACACCTATGCTGTTGGTTGACATTTAAAAGGGACACCAAGGGGGACAGCTTGCCCGCTGTGAGACGTTAAACAAACATTCCGGAAGCAAAAACAGATAGCGGCTCAGAGCTGCCATCTGCCTTTTCCTTCAAAGTCTGCCAGTGTAGTGACTGAAAGCAGTTTTAAAATGAGCCCTTGATTTTTGTAAAAGTTCTTTGAAATGGGAAGCTGCACTGTCATTGAGGACAAACGAGTGATTGCAGTGACATCGGTCTTTTTACAGGCCCAGCTCAGGTCTGACCATCAGAGCCTGTTGCTGACGGAACCTTCTCTTTGCAGGTTTTCATTTCTGTGAACTGCTTAAGCACAGACTTCTCTTCCCAGAAGGGCGTGAAGGGGCTGCCTCTGAACATTCAGATCGACACCTACAGTTACAACAACCGCAGCAACAAGCCCGTGCACCGGGCCTACTGCCAGATCAAGGTCTTCTGCGACAAGGTGAGGCTGTCGGCCCAGGTGGGGGTGCCCAGAACGAAGTGTGTGAGGTGGACCCTCCCGCACGGAAAAAAACAGTCTTTTTACTATTTAAGTTCAATAAGAATGTGCTGTGGTTAATATAAAATAGAAGCAAGGAGCATTATATAGGGAAGGGAAAAGGTCTTGTTTTAATGGAGAAAGGACACTTTGTTGGGCATGTCCGGCAGAGTCAGGGTGGGACGCTCAGGGCTCACCCCGGCTGCGCTCCGTCCTGGGCGGCCCCTCGGCTCGCGGGGTCGGTAGGCGGCGGCCGAAGGGCCGGGTCTTCCTGAGCTCTGTGTCCGAGGGCTCGCGGGCTGAGTCGCAGGGGCTGCCCTCGACCAGTGCTCCTGCCCTGGTCAGCCGGTGCCCTGAGGCCGGAGGCAGCAGAGAGTCTTCTCAAAGCAGCAGGGAGGCAGGAAGAGGGAGGGCAGGGCCACGAGAGGTCAGTGTTATTTCTCTGGTGTGACTCCTTGTTTGCTGGAAAAGAGACGATCGCTCCTGCTGGGTGCGGCGCTGGGGGCTCAGCTGGAATAAGTCCAGAACAGCTGGCAGGCCTGCGGTGGCTTGAGGACACAGACAGTGGTGTCCTCAGGACCTGCTGCGGCCGCGCAGATGAGGGAGGGGCCGCTGAACTAAGAGTGAAGACTTTGACCTTCCCATTCGAAAACCTTGGGATGGAGGGGCGGGGGTAGATGTGTGTGTATACATTTTATAACCATATATATAGCCAGTTCTTCTCTTTTCCTCCTGTTGAAAAAACCCTCTCTTTTCATTAGGCCTTGTCCAAGGAACTAGGTAGCTGGAAGGGTACTTGCCATCAGAGGCTGCCCTGAGCACGCAGAGCAGGCGCCGGCCCCGGGGGTGGCCCGAGGCCGCCCAGGCTCAGAGCGTCTTCAGACGCCCAGGCTCAGGAGCACTGATTGGGGTGCCTGCCTGAGAATGTGCCAGGTCGTGGTCCTTCTCTGTTGTTACAGTTAACATATTAGCACAAACTTAGTGGCTGAAAGCACACACATCTGCTGTCTGTGGTTCTGTAGGTCCGAAGCCTGACCCGGCTCTCCCTGGGCTAAATCCAGGTGTCAGACGGCTGCACTCCAGGGGGCTCCAGGGGAGGACGCGTCTCCTAGCCGCCCCTCCTCCTAGGGGCCGCCTGCCGTGGCCCCCTCGCCTTCTGAGCCCGCAGTGGCTGGTCAGCCTCACGCTGACTCGGCCCTGCACCCCACCTCTCCTCCCCGACCCTCCTGCTTTGACAGGCCCTGGGGACTGTGGTCGGGGTACGCAGCCTGTGTTCAGGTCAGCTGCCGAGCGCTCTTGCGCTCCTGAGCCGTGCACGCGGTCAGCCCCCGGCTCTGCAGGTGAGCACAGACCCGCCGTGGGCCGTCCATCTGTCCATCTGTCTGCCACGGGGGCCTTCAGAGCGGACGCATTCCACAGACAGCCAGTCCCGTCGCGCATGGAGCAGGCATTTCTCACCCTCGCTCAAGGTTCTTGCCTTTCTACCACATTCCTCTTTTTAGCCCAAAGGAAACCTAAAAAAAAAAAAAACTAGTGAGATATCCATGTTCTTTTTATAAAAATCTAGGGAGAAATAAGCTTTACCAGTTCCGTTAAATTTTTTTTCACGCCTGTTGTGACCTAAAAAAAAATTCCATTCTATTTAATAATTTTTCTCGACATTATTTAGAATTCATAAGTAAGTTCATTTTTTTAATGGTAGGTAGAAGATTTCTGTTTCTGTGAGAACCTTGTTAACCTCAGTTGGCTCACAGAGGCTTGCTCTGTGCCCCCCGCAGGCCCCGCGGCAAGACCACATGCTGCATCGCAGGCGCTCGCGGGGCGGGGGCAGCACCTGCTCTGAGACCTCTCCCAGGTCCCGTGTCATCTCGCAGAGCAGGGTCTCCAGTTACCTGAGGTGAAGGACCATGGCTTTCACAGCTAATCTCATGAACTTGCATGGCCGTAAAATACAATAAAAGTGCAAGTGAATTGCTGAAAAAAATGAAACACCCAAAAAAGATGTACAAGCTACAAGCCCCAGTTTTTACTAACTGATTCAACAGACCTAAAATTATGCGGCCTAATTGCTTTCCAAATGCGTTCCCAATGTCTGATGCATTTTGCCTCAGACCGTCACAGTCCATGGCCTGGTAGCGGCCCAGGGGTCACACGCTGAGCATCGCCGTGCGGAGTGGCAGGCAGCACGAGTGGGCACCACAGCTTCCATGCTGGGCTGCGCGTGCTGCCCAGGAGCCGTGAGGAGGAAGCGCAGGGCTGGTCCGTGCTCCTGGGCCATTTTGGTTTTAATGTCAAGACTTTCAAAGAGGCTTCTGTACGGGTTGCTGACTTAGAAACTGAAACACAGCAAAGTTGATGAGTTGCCCAAAGTTATTTTATTAATCAAGGTTATCTTATTAACTACATATTTCGTGAAGCAGAGGGCTTTTCTGCAAGGGTGCCAAGCTGCGAGTGCTTTGGGACAACACAGAACCCCACCTTCCGGTGCTGCCGCCTGCCTGTGTGTGTTCAGCGGTCACCTCTAAGAGGACATCTTGGTCAGGGCCTTGGATGGCATCTGTGATGTGCAGGCCAGGGTCAGTTCCTAGTCTCCCTGACTCAGGGGTCAGCTCTGCGTGGCAGTGAAAAGCAACCACCCAAAGTGCTTAGACCTTCCCGCCACGTGCAGCCCCCCGGGACCGCACCCCCCACCCCCTGGTCCTGCGCAGCTGGTTCTGGCCCCCATCTGCCCTTGTGGTTGGTGGTTGCTTCTCTTCCAGGTTCATCTGCTGCTGCTGCCACCTCTGTGTGGACTCTCCCACCTGCCTCCTCGATTCTCTCCTTTCTGAGATTTGATCCACCTGTTATTTGGTGCCTGTCAATTCACTTCTCTCTGCTGGCTCTTAAAACTCTCACATATTACGAATGTGGTCTACAGCCACAGGAAGGAACTAGAAATAAGACGTCTCCTGGTGTCCTTCAGAGGTATTTATACTGTTTTTTTTCTCCCAAGAAGTGTTATCAGTACTTTACTATGAGTTACTTAACTAGTTTGACAAGTAGAATTTCGTCTTACTTCAGAAACAACAGCAACTTAGCATTTTTTCAGAGAAAACGGGGACAGGAATTAGGTCGTGAACCGGTGGAAATTCGGCAGCTCCTCTTTGAGTTTGTCTGTGTCCCTGGTCTGTCCCAGCAGAGACGACATTCAGTGACTCTGTCTCCTGCCGGTCACCTTCTTCTTTAGCAGAGGCGCATTTTCTGGCGCTGCAGCTGGGAGCAACCGTTACAGGCTAACTTCGGGGACATGGCCTGATGGGGGGGTCCCAGGGTCAGTGCCTACTGTTGACTGAGAGAGAGTGCCAACAGCCCGTAGTTCCCCGTAATGTCACGGGCATTTGGTGGCACTTCCTGCAGCGTCCACCTCCTGGCTGAGAGCCCTGGCGGCCTCTGTCAGAGAAGCCTGTTGCACTTCCAGTTTTGAGAGCCCTTGCTCCTGGGCGGCACCTTCTAGTTGACCGCGTCTCCCTCCGCGGCTCCATCTCCTCGCTGACGTGGTTCGTGGGGAGAAACCCGCCGCCGCCGTTGGCTTTGTTCGTCTGTTTACCAGGCCTTCTTTCCTGTTTTTAAGATTTCCTCTTTCTTCTGGTGTGGAGCACTTTGACGTGTCTAGGTTTTCTTGTGCTTAGAGTTAATTGATCTTATTGGATGTGTGGCTTTATAGTTTTCAAATCTGGAAAAATTTCAGCCATTGTTTCTTCAAATCTGTCCCGCTTTGCTCCGCCTTAGGGAAAGCCAGTCAGAGTGCGCGCGGCTCAGAGTGGGCCCGGCGCCCTGCGGCGCTTCCTGGCTGTTGGGTTCCTGCTTCTCTCTGCTCGTTTCAGACCGTCCCCACGTTGCGGCCGCAGGTTCAGCAGTCCTTCCTTCTGTCCAGCCCGTTGTTAGCTCACTGTGTGTGTGTGTGTGTGTGTTTTTCATCTCAAACGTGATAGTCCTTACCTCGGGAAGACCAGCTCGGACCCCTTTGGTACCTGTCAGTCTCATCTTGGGCACGCTCAGTTCTTTCACAAGGGGGCGGGCTCATGGGCTGCAGCCGAGAGCAGCGTGGTTGTGTCTGTGTGCGGCTGGTGCATCAGGGGCGTCCTCCTCACTGCCCGCTGCCCTGCTGCCCTGCCTGCCTGGCAGTCTTCCCTGATTCCGGCTGTTGCGAGTTTGACCTTGTTGGTGCGGGATAATGTTGTCATCCTCAGAACCTTCTGGGACTTTGTCCTGAGACCACGTGACATTTGGAAACAGGGTTACTTTTCCAGGCCTCATGGAAAGGGCGGGTCAGGAGCTGTGCTCACTGCCAGGCCCATTATTGTCCACGGCGGAGGTGAGGCCTCCTGACCCCTCTGCCACGGCCCTGGGAACAGCATGTTTCTCCAGTCCTGTCGGTGGGAGCGGGCACTGCCCTACCCTGCATGGGTGTGGGCTCCGTTCTCTGGTCTTTGCAGGCGTCTTTCCCCAGCGGCATGCGTGCCCTCCCACTCACGGACTGTCAGCGCTCTGCTGAGTCCTCGGAGGTCTGCCTCTTCTGACTCCTCCCACTTGCTGCCTGGGCCTGCCGCCTGGGCGTCTCTGAACTTGGAGCCCTATCTGCTGACCAGGGAACCTGGTTCGAGACCACCAGGCGTCGCCCCCGTGCCGCGGCCTAAGAGACGGACGGTGCCCCCGGTGCCCCTGGAGGCCCACCTCTCTGCCCCTTCTTCTCGGGGGCTGCCGCTCATTGCCTGGGGGCCAGGGCCTCAAAATCCTTGTGCTGCACTTTGTGGGGGTTTGTGCTCTAGTCGTTTCTGGGTGGCGGGTAAGTTGGGTCTGTGCGACTCCGTCTTGGGTGGAAGCAGAAGTTCCTCACAGTTCTGTAGGTTTGTGACTGATCACCAAGGGGGAGTGTGGCCTGCCTTGTCAGGCCGCCTTCCGGGTGGGGCTGAGGCAGAGGGACAGCAGGCCAGTGCCGCACCGCAGTGGCCAGGCAAACAGGGAGGCGCCCGCATTTCCATGTCCGGGAGGTAACGCCTGTGTCAGTGTTAATGGCAGTTTTCATGAGCAGGTGTCAGTACCGTGACACCTCCTCAAAGAGGCAAAAGTGGTTCTGTGTGCTGTGGTCCAGGGTCGTGTGATTGTGTCATAGTGCCGGCATCACGGGGTGCTCTCTGTTGCCTCTCTTTGATGTCAGGGGATTTATCTACAGAAGAACAAGCCACTGGTTCCTGCTTAGCTGGGCGCCAGTGTCAAGAAGTCTGGGCCATCCAGAAACGTGCCAAGAGGCCACGCAAGATGACTGAGTCACGTTTACGTTTTTGTTGCTCTTGCCTGATTCCGGGTCATGTTTACTACTGAGCTGAGTCTTTTCGTCCTGTGGGTCACTGGGGTGGCAGGGTCCCTCTGCACAGATGGCACGGGGTCCACTCTGCAGCACAGGGCCTGCTTCTCTTCTGAGCACTCCCGTGGTCTCCCAGTTTAGCCTCGGCTCGGGAGGTGCAGCGCGTCACACTTGTCACTTCGTTGACCCCAAGTCCGGGGAGAGAACCCCGGCCTGCGGCGATGACGGTGCCCACGTAGGAAAGTACACTCGGTCGGGGCGATGGATCTTCTTTCCCCTTCTGTCACTGAACAGAGAAACAGTCTGACGCGTGTCTTTGAGGGCGGTGCGGGGGGAGCCCCGCAGACCTTCTCAGCTGCCAGCATAGCCCGGCCACATCTGCCACCGCAGGTTCCCTGCTTTGTCATTTCCCCATGATGTCATAGCGTGAGGAATAGTTTTAGGAACAGGCTTTTTAGAAGAAACTGCTGTGGTAAGTCCATGAATGTGGTATGTCATGGATCCATCTCTGCAGAGGAGATGCCCCCTGACCCCCCATCGCTCAGGGTAAGAGCTACGTATTTTGACGAGGATCAGATGAACAGAATCATGTTTTGTCTTGTCTGGTTTTGACCTACAGGGAGCTGAGCGGAAAATCAGGGATGAAGAACGAAAACAAAGCAAAAGAAAAGGCAAGTGCACTGACCCCAGCTCCCAGTTGAACGCCTGTAAGTAGACCTCTCTCCCCACGCCATTTTGGACCCTGTCCCCTCAGAATGGCGGCCGGCAGTCTCCTGCGGGAGATAGAGTAGAGGCCGGTTTCTGCTGAGGCGTAACGGCCGCGCCGCTTCCTTTACCAGAGTCAGAGACAGACAGGTGGCTGCACCAAGCCGTGCTCCGGGGAGTCCTGGAGGGTTCTTGAGTTTTCCCAGAGTTCGGGCTATTTTGGCTGTTAGTTCTAGCTGAGGTTGCTGCTTGCAGTCCTGAAAAACAGTACATGTTCCTCCTGAGGAGCTGATGATAAAACTGGGTAATGATAATATCATTACCTAGATTTTTAAGAATAACAACGCCCTTGAGAATTCAGGATGTCTTAATTCCCAGTCAGTAGTTTTCTTACGGATCGTATTCTGACATTTGCAGAATCTCTGTTTGGGCATTTCACTAGGAAAGCTTGCTTTCTTTTTTTATGTGACAAGTATTCATAGTCACAAAGCTAGACTCTGAGCTAGAAGGAAAAGTGGGGCTCTGCCTCGGCACCTCGTGGGCAGCACGTGGGCCACTGGCAGCTGTCCTCCCAGCGCTCTGCGGGCTCCGCAGGCGTTCGTGTGCCCCCGCAGTGTGTGAGCCAGGGTCTCCAGGCCTCGCTCCTGGGAGGGCGGAGAGCGGCTGGCCCACCGAGCAGGCTCACCCTGGGCACCGCAGGGCCAGACAGTGGGGGAGGGCGGATGCTGCGATTTCCTGAATTGACACGGACCGGGGCGCCAACTCTTAGCCTCACCGGAAGTTGGGTCTGAGGTTGGAGGTACAAGGGTGGGGTGTATGTCCCCAAGTAGAAGAGGGCATTGCTGTTAGAATGTCAGGTATTTAACGAGCCCCGGCTGGTGCGGCTCAGCGGATTGAGTGTCGGCCTGCAAACCAAAGGGTCGCCGGTTCAATTCCTGGTCAGGGCACAGGCCTGGGTTGCAGGCCAGGTTCCCAGTAGGGGGCGCGAGAGAGGTGACCACATAGTGACGCTTCTCTCCCTCTTTCTCCCTCCCTTTCCCTCTCTCTGAAAATAAGTAAATAAAATCTCTAAAAAATTTTTTTAAATTATTTAATGAGGCTAGCTAAGGTGAAGTCACTTCTAAGTTACGTCTACATGGTTATTGTGTTTTATCCTTTCGGACACAAACTAAATATGCTTTGCCCGTGTTCCAGATCATATGTGCGTTTAAAAAGAACTTTCTTTCCTCTGATTGTGATAGGATGTTCCGTGGGTTTTAGGGTAGTAAATACAAAAAACATGTTCCTTCATGTGATTTTCCTTAGTTCAGGGAACGTGCCTTGCATCTCCTAGTGGCACAGTTTTAACTTGTCATCGTTGGGGAACATGCTGTCACCTGCGTCCACAGGCTGCTTGCTGACTGTGGTGTCCTCGTTGTTTTCCCAGTTTCTGATGTCAAAGTGCCGCTGCTTCCCTCTCACAAGCGAATGGACATCACGGTCTTCAAGCCCTCCGTCGACCTCGACACCCAGCCTGTCCTCTTCATTCCCGACGTGCACTTCGCCAACCTTCAGCGGGGCCCTCACGTACGTAGCGGGGGTCCGAGGCGGCTGCGCGGGAGGGCGCTTCCAGAAGGAAAGGCTTTGGTAAACGGAAGCCAGGGTCTAGGGAGCTGTGAGCAGCGTCAGGCGTCGGCTCTTTGGACTGTCGGTTGGGGTGACGCGAGGTCCTTGCCGTCAGTACAGGGTGTGTAGGCAGCACTGACTCAGAATCGCAGTGCCAAACCCCTCAACTAAATCCTGTTTGTATTTATTTATTTACACTTTAGCTCATTTAAAAGAGACTAGAATAGTAGCACGGGTCGGAGTACGCGGGATCTGGCAGCCCGTGGCGAGAAGAACGTGGTTTCTTCGGTCAAGGGGTTCTCGCCGTGCACGGCGAGCTGTGTCTCCACCGCTGAGGCAGCTGAGAGCAGTAGTCGGGCCCGGCGCGGGGGCGGGGCTCCGGGCGGGGGGCGGGGCGGGGCGGGGCTCCGGGCGGGGCGGGGCAGAGCAGCCGCGATTTCCGGCGGAGTTCGGCAGAGCCCTTCTGCACTGCAAAGACCGGTTAAGATATGTGCGAACTAATGGCTTTTAGAGTTTTCGCGGGAAGCCATTGCCAGTACTCTCAGTTCTAAAGAGCAGCTCTGGCAAATTTTTTCTACAAAGGGTCAGATAATAAATAGGTTAGGTTTTGGGGTCCTTCGGCCTCTGTCGTGACTTCTTCGCGCTGCCGTTGGTCAGCAGCAGAGCGGGCCTAACCGCCCGGCAGCGGGGGATGGGGCCGCGTGCCAGTGAACGCTCCGTTCACCCGGCCGGCTCCCGGCTCGGGGCCAGCCAGGCTCATCTGCCGGACCCCGAGTTAGCCAAGGTGTCTCTAAGAAGCCGGTGAGTGAAAACTAAGGCTGAAGGGTTTTGTGGTAGCTCGGTCAGGTTCGTTTCCATTTCAGGAAGAACTCGGTGGTGGTCTGAGCTCTTTTGTGCGTATACTTGAAAAGCAATCTCTGTTTTATTCTCAGGTCCTTTCTGTTGCCCCAGAAGAACTGGAGGGTGAAGGGTAAGATTTGTTTTGTTTTCTTTTAATAACTCTTTATTTTGAAGTAATCTCAAACTTACAGAACAATTGCAAGTTTAATGCAGAGAACTGAGTTCTTCCTGGGCCGTGGGACGCTGGGACCCGTCGTTGCTGCGTGCTTAGCATGTGTTCCCGGCAGCCGGGCGCTCCGCTGCCCCGCAGGCCCGGGCAGGACGCAGACGCTAAGGCGCCCGCCCCAGCCGGCCCTCACGCTCCACTCGCGCGGTGCCAGTTCGGTTCCGGCGCTGGATCAGGAAACATCCGGTCCAGACTCCCGCCGTGCATTTGGGTGTCATTTCTCCTTCGGCTCGGTCGACCCGGAGCAGCACCCCCTCCGTCAGCTCCCTGAGCTGCCCCTCTGGGGGTTCCCACGCAGCGGTTGAGGGGAAAGCCCCCCAGTTTGGGTCTGTCCGTTGCCCCCTCGCTGTCGGGTTAGGTCAGGCACCGTGGCAGGAGCGTCAGGCACAGCACGGCCTTCCCTGCATCCTGCCAGTTCACCCCGTTGCTACTGGTGTCCTCTCCGCTGTCTCAGTGAAGGTGGCTCACCAGCTTCTCTGCTTTCTCCTTTTGTAACAAGTGTTTGGGGGGAAGGCGCTTTGTAGCTTTGTAAATATCTCATACCTCATCAAACTTTCGATTTGCTCATTTATTTATTTATTTATTTCAGTATGGGCCTGTCGTTTCCAATTTTTTGTTCAATAAGTTGTAGTCCGATACTGTCATTGGCTCTGCACAAACTGTCCCAGAGGATCCCTTTGACAGGACCTGCGCTGCCCCGCCCGGCGCCGTACGGGGAGGCTGGGCTTTAGAACCCAGGTCGGCCCCCCAGGCCCCCTGCGCCCCGATGCCCATGCCGGCTGCTCTTCTGCCACTGCATGCCACGCTGAGGGTCCCCCCGCCACGTTGCCCACGGGGCCTTTGCCCTGCAAGCCAGGGCTCCGCTGCCTCTCCAACTCCTGTGCTCAGACGCGAGTCCTACACACACTTTCCGCGGAGGCTGGTGTGTTCTAGAAGCTGTGACAGACTGTTTGAAGACCCAGCCCCTATTCTTGAAGTGATGGCTCTGCTCAAAACCAAGCACTCGCTTCCGTCGTTTTCGGTCCCTTTACTGTTTCCTTGCTCACGCACACTAGTCCTCACGGCGTCAACACCCCGTGACTTCTGCCCAGACAGCCAGCCACGCGACCTTCTTGCTTTCCTTCAGTGTGCTCGTATCCGTCTTCCCCTTTTCACCTCCACTGAGGCCTGTATTTTAACCCTCCAGAGTCACGCACTGTCATTGTCCCCAAAGTCTCCTCCCTGGCTCTTCTGCCTGTCGGTCCTAGGGCCCCTCCGTTTATTACCATGCGCTTTGATTAGTGTTCTCATCTCCCAGACTCCCCAGCGCCCGCAGCACAAAACCAAAGGCTCCTTAGGGCTGAGCAGTCAAGGAATTTCCCAGGGAGCCCGCCCTGCCCTCCCAGCTCAGGCTCCCTGTGGGATGGTCGCTTCTGGCCGCCTGGCTTTGCATTTTCCTCCTCACGCTTTCTCCCTTTTTGGACACGCCCCCCCCCCTACTTTGTTGGCACCTTTACATATATTCTAAATTCTACCTCTTCCATAAAATTTGTCCTGCAAAGGAACTGTTTGTCCTGGGAAGGCAGCTTGGCCCAGTGTCTGAGCCAGGGAGGGAGTCTGGCGCACTGCCCAGGGGGGCCCCGCCCTGCCATCGAGTAGCAGCGGCCCTGGTCCAGCCGCATCTTTCTCTGGGCCTCCAATTTGCATCCACAGAGTAAGGAAGCTGCGGCAGCTACAGCATGAAAGCCATGTTAAGTCTAAAACTCAGGGGCACACCGAGTCTCTCTTTGTTTCTCTGAGTGCCCCTAGTTGAAGTGCCTGGTTGTGCCTTTGTTCCTGCAGATCGAACTTGAAAAGGGGGCCCTTTGGGTCAGAAGACGACTTTGTGATCCCGCCTCCTGCTAAGCTAGCCCGCGTCGAAGAACCGAAGAGAGGTGCGTTGGCTTGACTTCCTAGAGGGGGCTTTAAATTGGAAGCATGTCCTGCATCTGTCAGAAGCATAGATGGCTCCAACTGGCCTTACCAGTTTGACTTCTTGAGGGTTGTTCCATTGGACCAGCTCCTGGCTTGAGCTTGAACATACAGCGGAGGTCAGAGAAGCTGAAAGCTGTGTTCCTCTGGACAGATGTTAGATGGGTGCAGGCTTGCTGTCTTGGGTGTGGGTGCCCCTTTTATTCTGCCTGATGCCCAGGGTCTGTTGCGTCATTTTGTTCCTGTGAATGAACTGCGTCCTCTTCTTCTTTCTCCCCCCTCCTCCCGACGGGATCAGTGCTGCTGTATGTGCGGAAGGAGTCAGAAGAGGTCTTCGATGCCCTGATGCTCAAGACCCCGTCTCTGAAGGGCCTGATGGAAGCTGTAAGTCACGTGCTCTGTAATGCTCCTTAAAAACGGACCCTGCTGAGCGGGCTTCACAGACCCTCCGGGTGTCCCTGTTGCCCTGACGATGCCCCTTCTCTCTGCGCCTGCAGCACAGCCTGCGCCACGCCCACCTCACGGTCCCGGTGTTTGCGAGCCGACTCCACGCGGCCTCACGCAGCCGTGCGCTGCAAGCTCGATGGCGGGCAGCCGTCGCTCAGTGGTGTCGGCTCTCCCGCGGCCCCTCCCCTCCCCTGCGATGGCGCTGGATTCCTGGCCCTGTGTCTGCTGACACCCGTCCCTCATTTCCCAGAAGAACCGTGCAAACTCTCGATTATGGGGTGAGGAGAGAGTGGAAAAGGTCGAGACTCGGTGTACAAGTGTAACTTCTCAGTGCAGGGAGGTCTCACCACTGTCCTTGCGTTTCTTGGGGCTCTGATTCACCAACATATACTGAGTACTGCTATCCAGCAGGACAGAAAAGAAGCGGACAGGTTTGTAGGCTGCGAGCTTGGACTCGGCCTGAACGTCTGTTTTTGCTCGATTGGAGGCAACCTAGCAGCCAGCCCCCTGGCCGGTGCTCAGCGCTGCCTCCGGGAGGCAGTGACCCCATGTCAGGATGCTCGGCACAGGAGCTCCAAGTAAAGCCTCCAGGTGGCACCAGCTGCTTGTCCTTCAAAGAGAGCCTCTGTGCCAGGAAGGAAAGGCTCCCACGATGACACCGTACCGGTGTCGCACTGTGTGGGCCACTCGCAGACCATGAAACAGGTGCAGAGGCTGAGCAGGGCGGGGGGCCACACTCCAGCGGCTGCAACCACGGTTGGCAGAGCCTCACGACCCTGCGCGAGTGCTCGCTGCTCCTGGAGGCTCTGGGTGACCTGGCAGAGGCGCAGCTCCTCCTAAGGGTGGTGTCCGGGATTCGGCTGCTGCTTCCGGGCTGCAAGACTCTGAAGTGCTCCGTCCTCCCCATAACTCCACAGCTGAGATGCACAGCCGCACGGGGCTGGGCACACGGCAACCCTGACGTCCCCCGGCAGGGTGTGTGCGGAGGTCTCACTTTGCTGGTGAGGGAGCCTGTGGTCAGAGGGGCCGATGCACACTGACTGACCCCAGAGCAAGGCCCTCGTGCACAGGCAGGAACACCTGTGACTCCACGGATCTGTGTCACTATGCGTCTGTCAAAGCCTATGGAATTGTTCCACGCCCTGCGAACCCAATGAGAATGGCAGGCTTTAACTCATAACATGGTAGCAGCACGGCTCACCCCGCAGATAACAAGTGCACTGCCTGGGACAGGGGTGGGGGTGTTGATAAATGTCGGGGGCTTGGGGGGCTGGTGATAGGCAACTCTGTACTTCCTGCTCAGGTTTTCTATAAACTTAAAACTGCTCTGGGGCCCTCCCCGGTGTGGGTCAGTGGGTTGGGTGTCATCCCATTCCTAGTCAGGGCACATGCCTGGGGTGCAGGTCTGGTCCCAGGCGGCATGTATGGGAGGCAAACGGATCGAAGTTTCTCTCTCTCTCTTGCCCACTCCCAGTCTCTCTTCTCCCCAACGCCCCTTCCTCTGCCTCTGAAATAAAAAACTAAGTTTTGAAAAAACTGTTCTAGGAAATATTGTTTGAAAGCAGTGAGTACATAATAATTTGTGGACCCCTGTAAACTCAGGGGAAACAAAGCCCCTGATTCCAGCGCAGGCCAAAGGCAGCCGGCACCCTCCCCAGGGTGTGGGCGGGGTCTCGTACACATCTCTGCACGTGCACTCGGAGAAACAACGTTGCATGACTGTCCCACTATATTAATATATTTGTACGTTAAAGTCATTAAAATGTCATTTCTTAATTATTTTTCATTACTCTTCTAGATCGCTGACAAATACGATGTTCCCCATGACAAGATCGGGAAAATATTCAAGAAATGTAAAAAAGGGTGAGTTTGGACTGCATGCCTGGTGCCTGAGCGAGGTTAACGTTACCGACCTCAGCGCCGTTCCCGTGCGTCTGCCCCGTCCAGAGTCAGACGTGAAGGCGGGGACGTGTTCTCTCCTAAGTCACCCCCTGGCATCCATCCCCCTGCTCAGACGTCCTCGCGGTTTCCTCTCAAGTGAAGTTTGTGTTCGCTCTTCTCATGCTTGGCAGCCGTGACATGGCTCCGAGCCCCAGAGCCCCCTGTGGAATGTGCCCCCTGCCAGCCAGCGCTGCCCCGCAGGGGTCGGGCGCGGGGCCTGGGCTCCCCGCATCGCCCTGTGAGGTGGGCGTCGCTGGCAGGGTTCACAGAGGAGGCCGAGGAGGGCCAGAGCCCGAGACGTGCCCGAGACCAGACCAGATCGGTGCCGAGGCCCCGGTCCGGGCCACGTCCCGAGCAGACACAGAGCCGCGGCTCCTGCCGCTCCGCTCTCCTGCCCAGGTTGTGTTCCCAGCCCGGGACAGTGCTTCCTTGTCCAGAAATTAGTATTTTTTGTTCTGTTCAAGTGTCTGCTGTTCGCATGGGTAAGCAGGGTGTGGTATAAAAATATTTTTTGTTTAACTGTAAAGCAGGTCCAAATTGGAATTTTGTAGGTGGGCCCCATGGGAAGGGCTGGACTCAGTGGTGACTGGATTAAACTTGGGGATAACTCCCCCGGGCAGTCGTTTGTCGGGAGCTGGGGCTTCAGGTCCCGCAGGTTAACTTCGCGGATAGGCTTTCTGAGGCTGGGCCAGGGAAGGACTGTGTCTGTGGCCTTCCTGCGTTCATCACAGGAGCCACTGCCGACTGAGGGACAAGGCCACGCTGCCGTGGGACAGGAGGCACGTGGGCATGTGCTGTTGAGCGCGTGCCCTGCACTGTTACGGGTGCTCCCCTGAGCCCTCCTTAGGTCCTCGCAGCAGTCCTGCGGGCCAGGCACTGCCGTCATCCCCGGGTCAGAGCTGGCGGGTTGAGGCTGAGGGAGCTTGGGTAGCTTGCCTCACGCATCACAGCGGGTGCGTAACAGAGCCCCCGAAACCTGGGCCGCCCCCGGGTGAGCGGGACTGAGTGCGCCCGTCTGGCCTCCCCTTCCAGGATCCTGGTGAACATGGACGACAACATTGTGAAGCACTACTCCAACGAAGACACCTTCCAGCTGCAGATGGAAGAGGTGGGGGGGTCCTACAGGCTCACCCTCACAGAGATCTGAGGGCGTCCTGGCCCCAGGTCCCCACAAGTTCAATGAAGGTGTCACAGAAGTCCTGTTGCTTGCCGAGCCGTCGGGGCGCTGGCCAGCTGCCTTCCAAACTCACGAGCGCCAGCGGAAGGGACTCCTTTCTGCTGGGAGCTGCGCTGCACTGGGCTCAGGGGCGGCGTTGACGGCCGTGTGGGCGGCTTTTAGGTGACAGGACTCCACGGACTATTGTTGTTTGAATTTTCTGATATAAATGCTTAGGGCTAAAAGTGAAAACCTTGTTCCAACACTAATGGACTCTCTGGGAACCTTTAGGAGATCTGCTGTGTTATTTATAAAAATATTTTTTTATTTCACATTATGTTCAACATTATTTTGTGGTAGTTTCAGGCGTGTAGCACAGCGGACCGCCCCCTTGTCTCATGGCGGGGCCTGCTCGCTAGTGCGAGCCACAAAGGTGTCGGGCACAGCTTTCAGCCTGAACTCCTGCCTCGGGTTAGTGGGAGCGGCGTCCCGGGGAGTCGGGACCCACCCTTTCTCCCTCAGCCTCTCTTCACCCCACCAGACGTTTACCCAAATAGAGCATGTTACTACTGAGTCGTCTTCTGCTACTTCCTTGAACTCATTGACTGCCTTTCTCATGAAGAACTTCAGTGGGTCACAGTGTGAATCGGTTAAGCTAATGCCATGTTGTGTATAAGTGCAATACATTGTTGAAGGCCGGTCTCTGTAAATGTGTACATACTGTCTCATGGAAATAGGTAATATATAAATACGGCGTCTGTGTGCGTGCGGTGAAGAGACACAGTGAGAGCTAACTACCTGAAAGAATTCACCGAGAGAGAAGGTTATTTCTGGTAACGTATACGAAGCAGTATGTGCTCAGTGGAACCCACAAAAATCCTCTCTCTGTGGTTTCCCACACGCAGCAATCACTCCGTAGCATAACAAAACCTTCTCAAATGACACATTCTGTTTACTTTCAAGAATGTTGTTTTTTGGATTTCTGCACTGTTTAACAAATGAAGTAAAGGGAAAACACGACCTCAGGTCACGTGCGCTGTGCGTGCGAACATCAGCCATGTGCGCCTGAAGCCGTGAGCAGGCAGCAGTTGACTGCGGCGCGGAGTGTGCGTGCTGCACAGCCAGCAACGCCACACAGAGCGGGGTGCTCCCGCTCCTCCTGCCCATGCTCCCGCTGGGCCGGCGTCCGAGCCTCCACGCTTGGACGGCCGCATGTGCTGTGGCTGCAGGAAGCCCGTGAAGTTACAAGACAGTGTCACCATGGCAGGGGAACATTCTGTGCCCATTTAAACATAAAAATACTAAGAAGTCTAATTTTATAACAAAATCACGGGTATCTTTCTTTAGGTTCAGGGAGCTTGTTTATATAAGTAGGATTGATAGTTACATTCTTACGTTAAAATATTCTAATGAAGTATGTGAACTAAATTGCTGGTTTTCTAAGATAAGATATCATGGGATACGGGTCATATAACTATTTTCTATTTTGTTTTATGAAATTGATTTTGTTTTTATCGTTTTTAATTGTATCTTTGAAGATGTATTTTAAACCAAAGGGATTAAATTTTATATGTCTATTTCATAACATGTCATTTCCTGTTACTCAGTTTGAGTGTGTCCTTTTATCTGCTAGGTGAGCAGATTTTGAGATCAGCTGGTGGGGTGGCGAGGGCCGCCTCAGCGGCTTCCCCGTGCTCCCCACACGCGCCTCCGGCCCGCGCCTCCGGCTTCGCTTTCCCTTGCAGGTGTCTGAAGTACTCCCGGTAGCTGTTCGGTTAGGGAGCCCTAAATAATTTTTAGCTGTTACAAAAGTTTAACCACTAAAGCTGCAGATGAATGCTTTTAGACCTAAAATCTTAGTGTTCATAGTTTTTAAAAGCATAACACAATGTTCAGATTCAAAATCTACCAATGATGTTTCGTTTCATCAGAATTTCTAAATCAAACAGCTGTTGTGAGCACATTCAGGTAATGAGACCTTAACTGTGATACATACTAAAACATATTGGGTTGGCCAAAAAGTCCATTTAGTTCTTCCTGTAAAAAGACATTTTTCATTGTCACCAATAACTGTATTGATCTGGATATTTTTACTATGTCGGCGATCTCCCGCTTTTGGCCTCTGGTGGGGAGAGGCCGGGGGTGCTGCTCAACATCTTCCCATGCATGAGACAGCCCGCAGCCAAGGGTTATTTGGCCAAAATGTCAATAGTACCCAGAAACTTCGCAGCCCACTTTTGACATGTTTGGTCACAGCACCCTCTCCGTACATGGCCCAGATCATTTTTTGTGTTTCAGTTGCTTTCTTACCTTTCTTGAAATAATAAAGCATAATAACGGAAAATGTTGTATATCTTCTTCCATCATCGATATTAAAATGGCCACACAAAAATTCACCAGTAGTTTTTTTCAATGCACGCTGATATGACAGCTGTCACAATACACACTAACAAAATTATCTTGAAGTTAAAGACAACTAAGCACTATTGGAGCCACTGTGCCGAAAAAAACTAAATGAACTTTCTGGCCAACCCATTATTTCTAACACACAATCAAATCAATGAAATAAGCTCCGTGGTAGATTTCCCACGATAGCTGTGCATATTTCACTCCAATCCTTGGGCCACAAGTCAAGACTCTGGGGGCGGATCCACCCCTGGCCGCCCAGCGGCCCCCTCCTCAGGCCTGCCTGGGCTCTGCCATTGCCAAGGCTGCAAGGAGCTCTTGCGGTTCCCTCCGACCTGCTGCCCCTCCGTGTCCTGCTGCATTTCTTTCTCTGTTTGTCAGTGAGCTCTTCATTTCTGCCTCAACACTTGGCTTGCCCCTGGGGCGAGGGGCTCCCACGGTCTCCCCAGCGGCTGACCCCAGGTCCCCGCTCCTAGCACGCAGCGCTCCAGGTGTGACCAAAGCCCTGCCTGCCCTCCCTGTGCCTCTCCTCTCCCTGGACCTCTGGCGCCCAGCATGTCGCCAGCAGAGAGGTTGGGCGGAAGCGAGAAGTCCAGAGATGAGTCAGGCGGGACCTAGACCCTTCGACTGTGGAGTAGGAGCCGTCCCTTGACCTTGATGGCAAGCAGCAAAGCAGAAAGCCGCGTACGGGCTCCGGAAAGTCTGACTTCCAGCAGCCGGGCAGACCGCGTGGGGAAGGGGCCCCCCGGGACGGGGAACGAGGCCGCACCCAGGCAGGGCTGCGCGTGCTCTCCCCGTCTCCCCCGTGACGGGGGCATGTGAGTGTCACCCGTGTTAGCAATATTTATGCCCCACCGGCTTGTGCTGACCACCACCAGCGACAGGAAGCCACCCAGTCAGTCAGCAAAGCTGGGTCTTGTCCCTCCGCCTCCTGCCTCCACACCCCCCCTGCCGGGCGCGTGCCCAAGGTCAGTCACCACAGGTAGGGGATAACAGCAGGGGTCCGCCTCTGCTCCCATTCCATCTTATACACACCCCTTAGTCCTGAACCCCTTCAGCCAGCACCCCCTTCAGATCGGGTCAAAGGTGTCATTGTGACTGTACCACACGGTAAGGAAAACGCAGAAGCGTTCGGGATGAGTGTCAGAGCTCGGGGAGACCCTGTCTCTGACGGGAGAATTCCTGCCTCCGCAGCCTCATGGCCCAGAGATAACCTTTGGTAACCTCTCCAATGCTAGGCAAACTGGAGCCTGCTAGTCACATTGTTTTGCAAACAGGGTCCTGCCTTTTTTTTTTTTTTTTTGTGCAAGTGTTTTCATTTATCTCTATCTCTTGGAAATGGTCTTTTTTAAAGACTGTTTCGTATTCCAGTACGCAGATAGCATCTTCCGTTCGGTGCCCTGATTGCCACAGAAAACACGCCAGCACCCGTCCTTCCATATTTACAAAGGAGAGTTATAAGGAGCTCTTAGCAGAAGAACGCTGAGTTCAAGAATGTGTTCAGTATTTTGTAGGCAGGGCCAAACTGCCACCCCGAGCAGACCGATTTCCATTCCTACCCACTGAGCACGCGTCTGTCTCCCAACATCGAACCACTTTGACGCGTTTCTCTGTTTCATTGAAGTGTAACTTGTGGTCAGTGGCCATGTGTACTTCATTTTCTGTGAACTCTGTGTTTATAGCCTTGAAAAAACTGTTCATCGTCCCAATTTCTTACTTCTTCAGCACTTCGGTCCAGGGCAGTTCGACTTCGTCCCTGCCATACCATGTACTGAGCCACCTGGCACCTGACCACCTCCTCTAGTCCTCACGGGGCCAAGTGAAGGGGGGACGTCACCCCATCTCACAGATGAGACACAGAGACGTTTGGGAGTTCGCACTGCGAGGAAGAGACAAGCACGTCTGACTCCAAATCTCCATTTCTTTCCACTCCTGCATGCCGTTTCCACCGGAAATGCTCTTTCTGAGGTGACTGGTGGCCTCGCTGCTTACCTCTGATCTCTAGAAACTATGCAGATGGTGCCTCAGCTTAGGAAAAGGTGCTCCACATCTATGTCATCAGGGAAATGCAAACAACGCAATAAGGCACCATTACACAGAGATTAGAACGACAAAACCCAGGACACGGACAGTGGGTGAGGTGCGGAGTCACAGGAACTCTGGGATGGTGCGGCGCAGCACAGCCACGCGGTTCCTTCCGAGACTAGACATGTTCTCATGACCCAGCAATCCTGTTCCTCGGTATTTACCCAAAGGGCCTGACAACTTGTATCTACCCAAAAACCTGCCCACGGATGCGGTGTTTGTGGCAGCTTGGTTCCTAATTGCCAGGACTGGGATGCAACCCAGACGCCCTGCAGCAAGGGACGGATGAACAAGCTGCGGTCCATCCAGATGAGGGAATATTACACAGTGCTGTGAAGCCATGAAAAGACATGGAGGGAACTTAAATGCACGTCACAACGTGAAAGAAGCCAGTCTGGGAAGGCTACGCACTGCGTGATTCCACCTGTACGACATTCTGGAAAAGGCACAGCTATGGAGACATCAACAGGTTAGTGGTGGCCGGCGCTCACGGGGTTGGGGCAGAGCGCAACTATTCTGTAGGATATTAGGATGGATACACGTCACATGTCACCCAGTTGCCTGAACCATGGAATGTGCAACACCAGTAGGGACCCCGTTGTA